ATATTTCACCTGTGATCATTTTTCGTAAAGTTATGAGGGTTTAAAGATTGCCATTTTGGCCATTTTGACCGATTTGGGACAATTAACGCGCAATATAATTCGCGCAATTAACACGTAAGCGAGATTTAATCCGTCTTATAAACGGTTCCAAATTGGTTTGAGGAAGCTTATTTGTCATAATTGATTTGTTACAAGGAACAAAATCTATCTTTTTGTACTTTATTTGGCGTGTGGGGGGATGATTTTCATTTAAAAAAATTCAAATTTTAGAAAAAAAATTTTGCATTTTAATTTATTTCATTAAAATTTTTCTTATGTATTAATGCTGCTCAATAAACCTTAAAAGGCAGTCGGAACATTCAGGGCTTCGCCTTGATACGAGCAGTCTTGTTTTCTTTTCATCTCTATTGCTTTTTCATCATTTCAATTGGGTTGACTGTAGGTTCGTATGCTAAATGGTAGTCCCCAGTCATCATTTTTTTCCATGAAAAATAAGAAAACTTTTTGAGAATCTGAAATTGATCAAAACTAAATCTCTTTTTCTTGAGATGTAAAGCCCAATGACAAGGCTTCTGTGAAAAAAAAAACTTAGAGAATGAAAAAAATGGATTAATTACAGGAAAAACTTCTTTGAACACAAAAAAAATTAAAATAAGCTTTCAAAAATGTTTGTACAATTCTGTGATTTTGTTTGGAAAAAAACCGGTACATCCCAATTTCCGGCAAAAACTAACATCAAAATTATTTACTTCGTTCTATTAAAAATTTCATTTTCATGTTATGTTTTTGATGTTTCTAGTTGCGTTTCTTTTGTCCAGCATGAATAATTCTTAGAGCACCTGCAAACATTATTAAAGAAATTTATTACAATTAACTTATTGAAAAACCTCAACCTTTGAAAAAACATTCGAAAAAACGTTCTTAAAGATGAGAAAACGTCAACGTCGATCACTCGATTGAAACATGAAAATAACACAAATGCAATTGATTTATCGATTTTAATTAACCATAACTTGAGCGAAAACAGATGGAATTATAATTGAAAATAATTGAATGAAAGGTTCTACAATTGGTAACTTACCGATAAAAATGTTTTCGTGCATTTCGTTTATTAGAGCAGTGCAAACAATAGGGCAAAAGGAAGCGTCCAACAAATATTCTGACAACAAACGCAGTTGCATGAGAACCTGTTTGATTGCCTAAAAATGTGAAATCAGTTTGAACGACCGGTTCCCCACACGCAAATAAAACTTTAATTTCATAACACCAATAGTTAGTGAGAGAATGAAAAAAATGGATTAATTACAGGAAAAACTTCTTTGAACACAAAAAAAATTAAAATAAGCTTTCAAAAATGTTTGTACAATTCTGTGATTTTGTTTGGAAAAAAAACCGGTACATCCCAATTTCCGGCAAAAACTAACATCAAAATTATTTACTTCGTTCTATTAAAAATTTCATTTTCATGTTATGTTTTTGATGTTTCTAGTTGCGTTTCTTTTGTCCAGCATGAATAATTCTTAGAGCACCTGCAAACATTATTAAAGAAATTGATTACAATTAACTTATTGAAAAACCTCAACCTTTGAAAAAACATTCGAAAAAACGTTCTTAAAGATGAGAAAACGTCAACGTCGATCACTCGATTGAAACATGAAAATAACACAAATGCAATTGATTTATCGATTTTAATTAACCATAACTTGAGCGAAAACAGATGGAATTATAATTGAAAATAATTGAATGAAAGGTTCTACAATTGGTAACTTACCGATAAAAATGTTTTCGTGCATTTCGTTTATTAGAGCAGTGCAAACAATAGGGCAAAAGGAAGCGTCCAACAAATATTCTGACAACAAACGCAGTTGCATGAGAACCTGTTTGATTGCCTAAAAATGTGAAATCAGTTTGAACGACCGGTTCCCCACAAGCAAATAAAACTTTAATTTCATAACATCAATAGTTAGTGAGAATGAAAAAAATTAGAAATATTTTTTGATAACAAGACGAGCTGCAGAGGAGCGGCCATAAGTCCATAAAAAATTTTCCAAAAGACAGAAAAAACTTTCCCAAAACAAACTTGATAGTTGATGGAAAAGACAATGGGCAAAAAGTTTAGAAAAAAAACAGATTTCAATGACAAACATGTTTGATGAATATCCGGATTTAACACACGAAGTCAACTCGATCATCTAGAAAAATTTTAAGATGATTTCTAAATTTTGACCAAAGGGTCAGATTTTGGATGAACGAGACGTTATCTACAACAAGAGTTTGGCGCGCAGCTATCAATCACTTGCACGTCATCAACAACATCGGACGAACCATTCTCCTGATCCCGACTTTCTGTCCATAAATTTGTTTACTCACCATCATCAATATCGAAAAACTCGAAGGTCTTATCACAGAGCACGCCAAGTGACCGTCTAGTTTGGCATCAGTCTCTCGTTTATTTTCTGTCACGCTAAATATGTTTCCAACCAAGACAGGAACAGAAAAGGGAAACGGCGATACAGACTATAGTACGTAGGCTGCAAGCTCACCGACAAAAAAATGAAAAAATCATTTCTATGATCAGTATGCTCAGAAGGACAAAGTTCTTGGCACCATGTGAACAATCTGCCCCCTAAATCAAAATATGGAGATCTTCAATCGGTTAAAATAAACAATTTTCAGCGAATCAGATTTGAGCATAGTACATGAAGGCCTTACTGCTTAAATTGGCCATTTAACTTTAGGAAAAATATTGTTCACTTAGTCTCTTCAGGGATGAGATTGTCTACAGGGATTGGTTCTTGAAGTAGCAAACAGGAATTCAACGAAGGCATGACAAACAAAAACCAAATGGTATCAAATATCGAACCACAACACGAATCGGACCCTAAGATACCCAGTTGGCTCAAGAACAACTATAACGGATTATGCACAAGATTCGGGAGATCGAAACACCATGTGTTGAAAAATTGTAGAAAAACTTCAAAGCAATACAACATAAGGGCAGGCGAATACCCATACAATTACCAATTGCAGAAAAGAGTTCAACAGGAAATCAAACAACTGATCGAACATGAGCCAGTGAAGAAACTCAAAAATTGCAGTGACAGACAATTTCTCAGCCATATTATGATCGCAGTTTAAAAAAGAAGAGTCAATCAAGCTGGCTCTGGAATCCGAACAGATCAACGGGTACATACATAAACCCAAATACCAGATATCAAACATCGAACTCCTGCTTGATAACGCAGCCGAAACGGTAAATTATCTAAATTAAGTGGATATGTATTTTTCCACGCTCGATCTGGGTTATGTCTATGCACAATTACCATTGGATCCTAAAACCAAAAAGCAGTGCAAATTCAGCTTGGTTGGGGGAAACAAAACAGGTACCTATCAGTTTCAGACAAATTTTTTTGCGGTTTGGCAGACATGCGAACCGAACTTCAGAAGGCAATCGATCTTACACTAGCAAACCACAAGAACACATTTGCTTTCCTAGATAACATTCTAATTGTTACTAAATGAAAAAATTGGATCACCAAGCGGTACTCAAATCCGTATTGAATAAAATAGATTTGGAAAATTTGGCAATTTCAACACCCAAATGCAACAACGACTGCAAGCAATTTTAATGGTTTGGGTTAACCATTAACACATAAAAGACGATACCCCTAATGAAAATAACAGAGGCAATCGACCTACTTTAATACTATACAAAAACGAAAAAAAAGGAAAAATTTAAAACACACCCGACACAAAGTTACTCCCCATGTTTGAATTGATCTGAAAAATAAACGGGTGAAATTATCATATTAATCATCAAAAAATTTTATCAAGTTTTTTAAAAGCAAAAAATTATTAAATTTCGAAAGTTTTTTTTTTCATTTTTTTTGGGTTTTTTTCTGAAAATAATTAAAATTTTAGCTGTTAAATCTACAGAGCAATGGCGACCATACATCAATCGAACGATCTTAGAAAACTTACGATGGTTTAAAATCATCAAAACAGGCCAATGATTACTCAAATCCGTATTGGAAAAAATAGATTTGGAAAATTTGGCCATTTCATCACCCAAATGCAACAACGACTGCAAGCAATTTTAATGGTTTGGGTTCAGCTTTAACACATAAAAGACGATACCCCTAATGAAGAAAACAGAGGCAATCGACCTACTTTAATACTATACAAAAAAGAAAAAAAAGGAAAAATTCAAAACACACCCGAATACAAAGTTACTCCCCATGTTTTAATTGATCTGAAAAATAAACGGGTGAAATTATTATATTGATCATCAAAAACGTTTATCAAGTTCTTTAAAAGCAAAAAATTATTAAATTTCGAAAGGTTTTTTTTTTCAATTTTATTTTGGGTTTTTCCTGAAAATAATTAAAATTTAAGCTGTTAAATCTACGGAGTTTTTTGAGTTATAATGCTAACTTTCGGCAGAAATCTAACATCTTTGCTTGCGATTTTGCAGGGGTATTATTAAGCTAAGAAATAATAGGAGAAAAAGGAGACTGTTAAAAAAATGAACGAGCTAATTCCGTCGGGCAATGGCGACAATACATCAATCGAACGATCTTAGAAAACTTACGCTGGTTTAAAAATCATCAAAACAGGCCAATGATTTCTTCATCATCTAGGCCAAAACAAGAAGAAGCTCCAAAGAACTCAAGGAAAGGTCAGTGAAGCCAAAAAGTTCCGAGTATGGGATTTCTTGCCGATGTTGAGGGGCATGGCGAGACTCTAATGGGATCTGTCAGGTCGCGGACCCAACAAGTCACAACCAGTTTTAACTGAAATTAAACTTTGTCTAATAGCAGCTTTTTTTCAATTATGAATCAAAGATCCATTATTTTTTTTCAAAATACACAACAGCACCGAATTAATGAACAGGTGGTTAATAGTACACCAGAATATAAAACATAATTGAAATCTAACGTTTTTTGTCCCCTAATAACAGCTAAATAAAATATAGTTTTTCAACCGAATAAAAACCGAGGACAAAAAAAAACGTTGAATGAACTGGCAACAACTAAATGCAAGCAGTAGGTACATTCTGAACATCAAAAGTATCTAAATAAAATTCTATATCTACAAAATGTATTTCGTTTCTTTTTTTTTCGTCACAATTTTCATCATTTGTTCAAGTGTTCTATCAATTTATAAGGTTTTGTTTGGCATTTTGGTAATTTTTTTCAAAAGTATTTTTCAGTACAAGATACTTTAATTGAAATTTATGGAGTGGAGAGTGGCCTTTAAAACTTTCAGTTATCAAAAAAGTTGTGTTTAAATTGATCAAGTCACATGTTTGACCACTTTCGAAATTCACACCAGTTTCTGTTTCGAGAAAAAGATAGCGCTAGAAAATATCAGAAAATCAGAGTTTGTTTGTAACAATTGCATGTTGGGAATTTCTGGTTCCGCTTCACGCCAACTGTGTTCAAAATTATCAACAAATTTTCGTAAACTCAGTTTCTTTAAATTAGTTTCTATTGCACATCATTCAAGAAAAACAGCACTGTTTTGGTTTTAGGTTTCTAGAATTTCCTGGCCCATTCTACTGGATAAATCGATTGTTCTCGGGTGGTATGAAAAGCTCTCCGCTTTCTTGAATTTTCTATTTTATATGGAATCTTCTCGAACGTTGTGGCGCAATCTAGAATGTTCTAGAACGCTACTTGTCACTCATGCTGTCAGTCAGCTCCTGCAATGTGTGCCACTGTGCGATGGGTCTTCGCGGAGATGCTAGCATGTCACTCCAGTGTCTCAATTCGGCCCCCACTCCATTGCAACCCAACACTATCCCCCCTATCTCCTCGTTGCTCCCCATCCTGTCGTAGTCCAAAACAATCACATGCAGTTCGACTCTCTAAAACGTCATCTGAGTTTGAGATTTTTCAGATCAGAATTTGAGACATCATAATTTCAGATTTTTCAGTTTGTATACAATAAACTTCGGATTATTTTAAGTAAATTTCCTGTGAAAACTTTTTTTTAATTTTAAAACATCTGCATCAGTAGCGGATTTATAGTGGAGGCGGTTGAAGAGCGGACTCCCTTTTCTCTCAGGAATTTGACCCCATAACCAGGGGTGGATGTAAGATACTTCGTTAAAGACAAAATTGTTTTTCCGAGCTTTCCCAAATCACGATAACGACCCCTTTTGGCTTTTTTTTGCGTCGCCGGCAAATTAAAAAAGAAACAGGCAAAATTATGTTTTTAGGACGTTTCCAGGCACTCTCTCCTCAAAATTAGTATATGTTGGCGCCAAATCATAAGGGTCGGTCAGCAAAAATGGAGGCCATGAAATAGTACCAAAAGGGAACCCTTTGGGTGATCATGGGTCGATAGTACTTGGGGGTTTTTATCCGCACGGATACCCACCTGAGTATAACAGTAAAAAGAAAGCCCCCCTCCGCCCTCCCCCCCCCCCCCCCCGAAACGCTCCCTCTACACAAAATAACATCTTTTCGGCCAAATGACCCATTTTTTCTAATGCCTTGGGCGCCTCTATTACTAATTTTTTGGCTGCAGTAAGAGCTGAAAAAGCGATTTCCTGGAGCAAACTTGCAAAATTGCCCATACAAAAACATGCAAAATTTTTACCAAGATGAGTTCTAATTAGTGTTTTGGGGCGCCTCGGAAATTGAGATTGGCTGAACTAAAAAAATTGGACCAAAAATTTGATCAACCGAAAAGTTGACTCCCCCTCCAACGCAAAAAAACCTAGACCTGACTCTGTTCTGCATAATAAATCTCTACATACATTTTGTCGTTATTTATCGTCTTTTCAAAATATTGCACTTCCAATGCAGTTTAATATATCATGATTTGTTGAACACTTACTAATGCTCTGAATGCAATGCGTATTTTATTCAAATGCACTGAATGAATTGTGTGAGTGAAATGTATCTTCTCATACCTGTATCTGTTCGAATGGTACTTCGAATACGAAGCTCTCGTTGTAATATGGATTCAGAGTTCTCTTCTTAATTGTCGTTTTCTTTTTCTTCAGGCGCTTCCCATTCTGCACCAACACCAGTTTCACATACGGGTCTAAAAGGGATATCAAATCAACTCGTAAAGCGACAATTCGTAACAAAAACTCAAGCGGCAAACCTTCATTTAAGCGCACATTACTTGCCAATGCCTTGTTACGAATTGTCGCTAGTTACTAATTGTCGCCCAACCAAATCACCTGTATCGATGGTATGGATGTTTATCAGATAATCGAAGCGCTCTGATTATTTGCCAGAATTACGTACAACCGAAACGCTCCTGAAATAGTTTAAGCACTAAAATTCGCGAAAAAAAAATGTTTACAATTTCATTTTTTCCAAACTTTTTCCATAATTTGAGATTTTGTTTGGTTACATGAAACCCTCGAAAACAAAGAAATCTCTATTTACGGAAAAAAAAAACAATTTAACGTAACTGAGAATAAAAATTAGTTGAGAATACTTTTCAAGACAGTAGTTTGCCCAAGTTTGTTATTGCTAGGTTTGCTTCAAAAATTGTGTCTTAGTGATAGAAAATGATTCTATCAGAATCATTCTCATTGTCCGGATTGGAAATCAAATCGGAAAGCTTAATTTCTGAAAACACCGCAAAAACATGTTTTTTGAATGTTTTGCTCTAAAATTTTTGATCATTACATTTTTTTTCACATATTAAGTCAACTCTCGCAGTGGAATTTTATTCACAAAAGAAAAAAAAATGCAGTTTGGATCTACATCACAATCCACCTTTCAAAAAATGGGGGAGGATATTGTACGTGGATTAAACTTATCGATTTTCGACCAATCAGAATGCAGCAAAACTAGAATTTGGAAGAGAACGCTAGAACTATCTAGTGCTAATTTACAGTTATTTGCATAGGATGGAGACTTTTTAGTAGATACGATAAGGGGAGATTGTTACGTAGATCCAGCAAATTAATGCGACAAAATCAATCTCGAATGTGGAAAGTTAAGTTATTGATTAAAAAAATTTAGTGACAAACTGAACTAACCAGATAATCCTCCGACGTCCATCTTCTTGAGATTTTTCGCCTCCAGTACAACCACAGTGAGTTTACCAGCCGTAGGGACATATCGCAGAGAGAAACAGATGTCGCCAAGCACGTTATTCTAAAAAAGACAAAAATTTCAAAGTCATTCTGCTTTTGTTCAATATTTTTATACTGAAGCAAACGTTATCAGCAGTGGGACACTTTCAGATCTTGTGACGACAATACGAGGCCAAACTGTGCATTTTGCGACATGTAAGCGGATTCAGCAGCAAATTAACAAGTTTGTCGCGGAATTGGCAACATTGAAAAGTTTCTTTGATCTTCTTAGCTGTTTTGGATTCCAAGAACAAAAAGATAAATTACTCTTTTGCTCAAAACCGCTCTAAAAACAAGGCAAACTTGCGGAATCCGCAACAGAATTTACAGAATTTGAATAGTTTTTTGTGTACAGTAAGACAACGCTGTCGCGGAATCCGCAAATAATTTGTAGAACACAAAGTAAGTAGAGCCGCTCACAATTGAGAAATCCACTTTCATTTTGCAGAATCCGCTTACACTTGTGGAATCCGGAACAACTCGCTAAAATGGCTCGTTACGAAACCCCGACAAACCTTATGTGGCGACATATTTTTATGCTACAGTTACAGTTACTTGTGCTACAAAAACGGTGGAAGTTTATAAAGTTTACACCGCTTATATTTTTAAACATGTCTGAATATTTATCTCTAGGTTTCAGTGGTCTTATTTTATAATACAGAAATAAACCGACTGTTTCAGAAAAAAATATGGTGTTGGAAAACGATTATGCCTTTTTGTCTGTTATCGTTCTACTGTACCAAATTTCAGCCGAATGACCTAAATAGTTTTTGAATATCTTTCAGCAATTATTTTGTGCGTTGAGTTTTCAGCCTAAATGATTTCATGAAGTTTGCTCAGAAGGATATTTTCTTTAGAAAAGTCTTGCGGCCAAGAAAATTAGTGTCCCTCTAGGTTGTTAATAGAGCTAGATTTTCAGTTTTCAGTCCTTTCGTTTTCAGGAAACCACTCAATTTTACCCGCCAACCTCCTTCACAAGTTATTTTTTTAAGATGATCTATATATGTTTCGTTCTAATGTGAAAATTTTCCCGATGTTAGGGATAGTTGTTTTGCAAAAACAACTGTGATTGCACACAGTTATCATCATTTTGCCTGATCTTTGTGTATTTTTTTCCTTTCTCTCAAATTGCTCGTAACTGAAGTGTCTTCAAATGCTGATAAGTCTTTATAGTTTTTCGGCAGAAAAATTTAAACAGACATAGTGTCGCATAATAACTTAAAGACCATTTTTTGACTATATTTTTGATTTTTTCGCTTATAAAAACAGACAGAGAAACAAGACTTTCATTGATCTTTTTGTTTTAAAAAATTAAATAACATTTTTTCGTGATCTATAGCATAAATAGAATTCGGAAATGAAAAAAAAAGATAAAACAATTTCAAAACGAGACACCATTGAATGATGATCTCATATAAATTCAAAAGAGCACACTTTTTAGCAAAACTGAAGGTCGTTCAAGGAGGGCATGTTTACTCAAAAGTCTATCAAAATTCCTAGGTTGATGTCACGCTCATAATAATTGCAGCGGTAAATAGTTAGAACAACATAAAAGATTCGTTGATTGAGAATTGCCATTTTTACTAGCAATATCGATGATTTATCATTGTTGTAGCTCTGGTTGTCGGATTTTACAGAGAAGGGCAAAATGAAGTTTCACAATTGAGATATTCGAAAATCTATTGATTTCTAATCATACAAGTTTTGATTGCTTCAACGTCTCTTAGTTTTACTCAAAAAACTGTAAAAACACAGAAAGCAATATCAAAAAATTAATGAAAACAGAATCAGCGGTTGCAACATTTTATTCTTGATTTCTTTGGTTATCAATGACAAAACTTGTAATTTTTGCGCTGATTCATCGATTGAACATCGCTAAGTCATCTTTGTTCAACTATGATTAGCCAGGGATTTCAACGCGGGATAGCCAGTTTTTGGATACAAAACATTTCGGATTACATTAGTCGTCAAAAAAACTAATCTCATTTCAGATTTAATTACTGTTTTTTTAAACTGTTTTCATTGAATGAATTGCTTTAATTGCATTTTTATCTTCTTTATGTGCATCATAAATGATTGCTCCCAGAAATTAATTTGTTTTTCGAATATCTTTGGCTTGAATTTGATCAATTATAAAGAGACGCTAAGTCGAGTCCTGGCTCGATAAATTAAAAAAGTACCAAACCATTTTTTGTCTATAAAAACTTTTCGAATTTTTGAGTTTCGAACATTTGAGAGTGAATTTCTATTTCGTGTTAGAACATTTTTCGCGAAATTTGTAAAATACTTAATTGAATTTGATGAAGTATTTGGTAAATTGATCTACGCAGGTATTTTTCAGCACCCGTACCAAAAATGGAAAAACTAGAAAGAAAATTGAGGGTTTTTTGAATGTTTATTGACTACTTTGTTTCCTTTGTTCTGCAAAAATGACTGTGGTCAGAACTAACTGCACTATTTGCACAAAACTTAGCAGTTTTTGTTTACCTTTAATCGTTTCGAGTTTTTAATGCACATATAATTCTGACTATTTTTTGTGGGAGTGTATTGAATAGAAGTGTTTAAAATCTAAGCTGAACAAGTTTTAGATGAGTTGTTTTCCAAGTCTTTTCAGTCTCTTAAAGAATCCTTGATCATACACACTTTCTTATTTCTTCGATTTGCAGTTTTGCAGAAAAAATTAGAACCAAAAACGAAGCTTGGCGATAAAGAAACTTAAAAAAACTTAAGAATGTTTCAAACAAAATGCGACCCTTGTGTATGACTGGTAATAAATAATCTAAATCTTGTAAAATCTTTTCGCGAAAACAAAAAATTGTTTCGAAAGTCTGCTTCAGGTTGTAATTTTAAGCCCAAAAGTTCTTAGTAAAACTCTGTTGATTTACGCATTTATTTCAAGGTTTAATTGAACACTTTTCGTGATCTTTTTCAAATTAAGCAGATAAACAGATGCATAACGCAAAAGTTAAATGCTGTTGCAGCTCAACTAAGCCATATAATTAACTAAAAAATCTCCCATTACAAACTGTGCTGCACTTGTATTTTTGAACCGGCAGCTAATTGACCGCAAAGCAAGTTACCACTAAACCAAGTGAAAAAATTAGGACTCTTTCCTATTGAATTTTCCCGCTTCAAATTCAAAAATTATAACAATATCACAGAGTTTTTGGTAAAACGGAAGCAGGATGGGCTCTACTCCATTTAAAAACCCCTGATTATAATTTAAACTTCTCATTTTGTATCATGAGAGTGTCTAGTATTTTCCTGGGCTACGATGAATAACATGCAGTATAAGAACTCAATCACTACCTTTTTAATGTCATTCTTGATTGTAAAAAAACCTCAATCAGCTCTTTTAAAATGTGAGTATTGATGTTAAGAATCTGACAACTGATGCAAACTCACCTCTTTTCCGTCATCAGGGGGCACGAGGTCTCTCCACTCATCTACTGTCTTGCCCAGGTCAATCGAGGTCAGAGGGATGTTCAACTGGCCTATCTGGTCGTGTTTGGAGAAACGGTCGAAGTCAAACACTGACAAAACCAGAGTCTTTCCAGCTATCTCTGCGTACGGGACCTGAAAACTACCTTTTGTTTCTCTATCTTCGAAATGTCAACAAAACTTCTCCGCGTCGCACAAAATGCCTCGAAGGAAGAAAAATGTAATAGAATATCATCTTTCTAGGGTTGTGCTAAATGATTGATCAGAAATGGACAACTTTTTCAAAAAAAAACACTTCCTATGGCGGTTTGCTTTTTGATTTCTCCAGAGCAGTTTTATTCTAAAATGAAATCAACAAAGAAATATTAATCTTAATTCAATTAAATAAGGTAGATTAAAAGAAAAATTTAAAAATATGATTCTAAGAGGACCCACGTTAAAACTATAATTTGTTGTTGCATCAAAAATATAGATAATAAAATTCAATGAAGATCAAGATCACTAAGCTAGAAATTGAAGAGTTTGTTGATCGTCTCATTAAAGAAATATCTTCGTTCTCAAAATTTGTTATAAAGTAATTCTTGTTATAATTTATTATAATATATACAAGGTGGAGTTCAGAAGGTGCAAATGGGTAAAACTAACGTGGAATGTGAAGTGTTCGTTGAATAGTGGGTTGAGTGTCTTCCTGTGCACTTTGGTCTCCTGCTTCTTGTTCCTATTACCCCCACCCCCACCCCCACCCCCACTTCCCCCCTTGTTCTGAGTGTCGAAGGGGAGCAGGTACAGCTTCACGTAGGGGTCACTAGTCCCACTCATATCCATCCCAATCAGCTCACTCGCCTCTATTATCCCCACACACAGCTGCAAAAAAAAACAAGATAAAAAAACTCGAAATTTAAAAAAATAATAAATTATAAATGTATAAAAAAATGAGTCAGTAGTTGCACGTATAATTTCGAACTCATAAGTTGAATGAAAAAATCAGATATCTTTCTGTACAAAAATGTGCAATTTTCGATATATCATTAACAACACATTTCCCCCAAAAAGAAATAAAAACGGCAAAAAAGTTTTTAGAAACCTAGACACAGACACCTAAAAGTTTAATAACCTGGGCAAGAACTAAGCTCAAATTTTTCTGCTTGTAGAATGTTTTTGTATAAAAACCTTTAAATTTAGAATCCGAGCTTTTTTCTCGAAATAGGCTTGTTCTTCAAAATGAAGAATAATATATCCTGTTATTTTTTTCAGGCTCGGAAACAACAAGAATACCCTGCTGACAATCCAGCTTTAATCCAGTTTTAATCATTCGTTATATTCCGCAAAAAAAGGAGCTATCTCGGAGTCCTCGCTTTCAAACAGTAACGAATCTTTGGTGTCATTGATGCCTTTCAGTCACATTCTGGCATGAAATCTAAGTTAAACTTTCTTCGCGATAAGATTGCGACAAAACTTAGACGGAACAAACTCAAGCTACTGATGAGACCTAACGAGGCAAAGTTGAACTGCTTTTTTCTGTCAAGTAAAGTAGCCCAGCAAAATTTAAATCATATAAAAAAGTCCAGCAAAACCCGGAAAAAACGTCTTTTTTTTTTGCTTGACTGCCAAAACATGCAATTTTTACTAAATAAAACAACATTTTTTTTTCAATTTAATTGTTGAACCTTTGAGCATTTCTTGGAGGCTATATTCTTCATCTTAATTTTTGTAGGGCTACATAGAGAGCTCTCTTTGAAACAACTTTGTCAGCAATTCTCAGCAATGTTTCGTGCTCTACGGGTAACCTAATTTGGCTCTGTATCAATGTCAGCCACTTTCCAGTTTTACGACGTTACGCATTTTTTATAAGTATACAGTGTTGGCTCAAATTATCGGGAAAAAATAATAGAAATTAAAAAGTTATTTTTCAAATTTAATTGACATTAGCTAAAAATTGATGAAGACAAAGCTTGCCTATATCCTTAACAAAATTGATATGATGCAATTTCATTGCTAATTTCCACCCAATTTTTGGACCCAGAAAATCGGCTTTTTTAGTCAACCAAAAATTATTTCTAAATTTTCCTTTCAATTGCTGAAAAATTACATCAATTAAATTTCATATGCTATGCCTTAAAATTACGAGGGGTAAAATCAAAACGTTTAACAAGCGTTGCGCGAAACGTTTAAAAATTGTATATAAAATGGAAAGTAGTTTTTTAGATGTATTAGCTATTGAAAAAAGTAAGTTTTTTATACGAAATTGAAAAGATTATATATATCTCAAAACTTGTTGTGCTACTATCTGTATAAGGGCTCCATTCGATACAGTTTTGCATTTCTGTCAGACTGTCTTGGTGACCTGTTCTGGTTAACTGTTTTGGCGTAATAATTGTTTGATCAAAAGCGAAAAATGACCCGACTTACCCGCATCCAGTTTCAAGCGTTAATAATAGATTATATTTTGTTGCTAAATTGAGAAAAACTGAATATTTATCAATTAATGAATTTAAATCTAAATCAATCAAAATCTTTTTTTTCTAAAATCAAAATCGAATCAAACATAACGTTTTTAATCGATTTCAATCCATCATCAATCCTTCTTTTTTGATACAATTATAATCGAATTTTATACCATTTTCTATTTTATTTGTTTTGCACAAAAAAGCCATTATAATCGATTACAAATTGTCATAATCCTTTTCATTTGCCAATTTGTTTTCGACGTTGCATCTGAATTGCCTATATTTTATGCTTTTTGTGGACGTTGGTTTATATGAAAAATGGGAAAGTCGTTTTAGCTGTTTTCAAATCAAATCAAATATAAAACGTTGATATTTTTTCATTTCGTCTCAATTGAAGTTGTTTCATAATGCAAAATTTAGGTTCTTTTAATCATCATCAGATCAGCACGTTGCTCTATTTTCGTGATTTATTTGAAAGAATTATTTTTCATTTACCGCGGGAACCTTTTAACTAATACTAAGGGATCTCTACGAAACTGTTGTTTCGAGGTAAAACTGTGTATTACGCTGAAACAAAAAGGGACAAGACATCTCACATGTAGTTGGAAGTATTTTAATTCTGGAAAGGAGTCACTGATCTCGACCTGGGTGCTTATTGCTCAAGGTCGGCTGGTTTAGTTTTTGTCTAGATTTTCGACTTTTGAGCCTGTATTTTGAAATATTTTCAAAACTTGTACCTCATTATCGGAGAAATTGTAGTCAATTGAGAAGTGCAGTTTGCCCAGGTGTACCTTCCTGCCAGATGAAGAGGTGGAATTGCCCGATTGATCCAGGAAATTCTCATTTTCCGCATCCTAAAATTAAATAATTACGTCATCATTTTATCAGAAAGTCAGCATGATTATCAGTTGCTAACATTATAATAGCTAACATTATAAAACCCGCCGATACACCATATAATTGTTGCTTTAAGGGGATTGGGTTGAGAGGGAAAGAAAAAGAGCCGGTGGAAGACGTTTAACTGGTTTTCACTTGTGAGTTTCAACCAGAGTGCAGAATAAAACAAACAGCGCAGAGCAAATTTTAATGTGTCACCAACTCCACAGAACAAAAAGATTTGCCAGAGATGATATCCAATTTCTAAATTTAATTAACTTATTGATAATAGTTGACTTGATTCGACGTCAGCTTTCTGGAAATATCTTTAAATGTCCACCGCCCCCTGTCCAAGTTATCCAGAAAAAAACATCCAAACTCGCAAAGATTATATAACATCCAAAAAAAAAAATACCCAAGAGAGCGAAAAAATACCACGAATCACTATATCGTTTTACAGTTACGAAGCAATATAACAGTTACGCATATAAGAACTTTGAACCTGCAACGAATTTCTTTTCCAAAGCTACGGCGGATATAATTGGAGATGTTTCTTTTTACCTGATGACTATTGATGCCCTTTTCCGAACCGGATATGTAATTGATAACTAATGGTAGCAATTATATCAATAACGACTATAGTTACCGGTTGTTAGAATAATATTAAGAGCGATGAAATTTGATATTACAAATTGAGGGGAGGAAAATTCAGGAGATTGCCCAATGTTTTTAAAAACAGGATATGATAACAAGATAAAACGAAAATTTTTAAAGGTTAAAGTTCACGATTAAAATCGACGGAAAAAATCGAATAAAATAGGAGAGGCGAAAAAATCTTGTTCTAGTGTTTCCTCTATTAATTAAATCAAACAACACTGCTAGTATCAGGCAAAGCCCTGAATGTTTCGGTTGCCCATCATCGTCGTTGAAACAGTTTTTGAAAACATCAATTAAATAACTGATAAAATTTTGAGGAAAAAATGAAAATTTGGATTTTTTCTTATTTTGACAAAAACATGTTCTTACTATATCTATTAACATACAAAAACACCAAAAGTTTTGCCTCAATTTTTTTGGAAAGATTTATGAGCGGATCTAAATAACCGCTTACGCGTTAATAGCAAAAAAAATCCTCGCGCGTTAGTTGTTCCAAATTAGCCAAATTAGCAGTTTTCAAAACCCCATAAGTTTTTGAAAAAGATCACAGGTATTATCACAGGTAGCTCTTTGAGCTCAAAAGACTATTGTTTTTCGGATGGTATAAAAAATCCATTCAAAAACGGCTACTTAAAAAGTCGACGTTTGTCTGAGAAAAACCCCAGCACTAATATTTCGTCGTTTTCTGCAAAAGTAGGAACAATAAGATTAGACAAGCGAACATAAATTGGTTAAATGCAGCCAAACAAAAAAGAGCAAAAAAGTGATAGCTAAATTAAACATTGACCCCCTAAACAAAAAATCAGAGCATGCTTTTACATTGGTAACTATTAAAGTGAAAGTTCGTAAATGTTTGAACGGATTTAACTTGGATTTGTGATTTGCTTGGGATTTAATTCAAACTTTTCACGCAGAGAGAGCAAATATGTACCGCTACTCAAACAGTTCAGCCACTATCTTTTTTCTAAAATACTGATGTCGAAAAACTAACTAGTTTGCTAATATTACGATACTAGTGAGCAAAAAAGTCTCTGATGTTACTGTAATAAGTAGCAAAATTCGGAACAGACAAAAAAAATTACGAAGAGCATTCTGACATTTTAAGCAGTTTTAGCATGCAGATTTGAGTTCTTAGGTGAAGTTGAGACAAACTTTTTGTCTGAAAAGGTAGCTATCGCAAGAAAAATGTTTCTGGAATAGGTCAATGGCTAATTTGAATGGCAACTTTTAATTAATTTGGTCTGTTCTTATCTTTTGCGAAACTCTATAGTTTGTTAGTTTGTCCGAGGTATTTGCACTACTGTGCATTTCTTTCACAAGGTCTGAAGCATGCAAGAAGTTTCAATAAAAATGCGGTAAAAAGCGCCTCAAAGGTCTCGGCGTCGCCTTCGACCTTGTCTGGACAGAACTTAACCGCATTTTTGTCTCGATTCTAGCTTCAACTTACCAAATCTTCTATTAGCTGAAAAGATCAGCAAAAATTAAGTTTGAGTTCAAGTCAGGTAGTTCAAAAGCACTCAATTTTTGACGAAGTCAGGCACGAGTTGTCGAGTTCATCTCGTAAACCCAACGAACAGTACACCTGGCGACCCATAAATTAAAAATTATTTTAACGTTTGTTTGGTTTATTTTCGAGGGCTAAAATGGAGAGTTTTTCAACCTTGCCTATGTTTTTGCAATTCATTTGAACATCAAGTTTGAGCCTCGGACTGGCATATCACTTATCACTCGCGAAGATCATTACACCTATTAAATCAATCTCAATAAAAAAATTTAGTTTCACCAGACATCGTTTAAAAACCGCCTTTTTCATCCAGCTTGTTAATATTTTTTTTCCAATTGAAGCATTTGCCCAGTCAAAAAAAACATACATTTTTTTAAATTTTGAATGAAAAAATTATAGTTGAAAGAAATCAATTTTTTGTACGTGTTTGCTGTTTGAACATCAGATGTCTTCACTTACTTTTTCCTTGTAAGCATTGCCTAACTCCTGAGCAGCCCTCATTTCAGGAGTGCATTTCAACCCCCTCTTCTCCCCCTTCTTGCTCCCACTGCCCCCACCCACTCCAACCAGAGCCCCCACCTAAATTGTGAACAGATAGTAATTATAATTAGGTAACAATAAGTAGACAGGTCATAAATTCGATATGCTGTAAGCCAATCAGAGTAAATAAAAGAAATTGATTCGTACATTGGTTTTCTTATCTCGATTCTGATTGGCTTACGACATAGCTACTTTATGACATGTCTACTTTTTGACTGCAATCCAGTACATATATTCAATCTCGCGCATTCTAAGTACTAATTCTAAGCATTTATTGTTTTGGTACTGTTCAGTTTTTGCATGGGTTGCACTACATGATGAATAGCTTTTGAATGGCATCTTCAAACTATGTTTTTTGAAATATAAAAACATCTAAATTTTGAAAATTTACATCGAATATTTTTATCAACTGAATCTGTTTTTTTTTCTGCTAAGCACGAAATTTAGATAACAGAACGCTATGCATCAGAAATTAAGGTAACAGAACGCTATGCATCAAACAGAACGCTATGCCTTATACTGTAAAATTTCGAAACAAATTTTTTTTCGATGACTCAGGTTCAAAACCCGGCTCCACTTAAGCTTTGATGGTTTCAGACATAAATTTTAGCAATCGATTCAGCTTTTTTACAGAATTTTAGCTGACCTTTTTGTTTTTACGAAATGCTTTTCTGACGCACACATAGGCTGTAGCGATTAGACCCACTATACAGAGGAACAACACCAGACCAGTGACAGCTGGAGACACTAAAATAAAATAGCAGATGATTCTCTGTACAAAATTTTCCATCAATTTGTACTCGTTTTTTGAAAAATTTCCGAAGAATATTTACTCAAAAACATTTTGATCGACCTTACAAGGCAATCGCATTATTTAAGTTTTCGCATTGAAAAAAGCAGTCTTGTTATCTGCTGGGGTATGGAAAATAATAAACAAAAAATTGGGTAGTTACCATGCCTCATGCTTATGTGATATGTCTCTAACTTCCAACATGAGTTTTTATTTGAAAGAAATTCCAACCATATCCCCTAGCTTTAATAATCCCTCCCTTCACCTAAGAAAATTGAGTGAAAAAATCAAAACTCATGGATTTTGTGATGTAAAGTTTTATGAACACAACTGATTCCCATGTTGCACTGATGCAACAAAATGAAAAGAAAATTGATTATAATCCAAAGTTTTTATCAAATTGAGAATAAATTTATATCCACTTAAAATCAATTAAAATGGATTTTTTCTCATTTATTTTTGTTTTGCGTCGTGCAAATTTTCGCGAAGTGCAAGTGTATGGCCTATTCGATTCCTAAAACCCCTTTTATTACAACCCGTCCCCCATCTCAACTTTTGCGCCGTTTGCCTCCTCCCAGCTGACCATCCGTACCACCCGTAACGAAAAATCAAACTTGCGCAGAAAATTATTGAAACTGTACAGTAAGTAGTCAACTTCGGTTTAAAAGGAAGGACACATTTTTTTGCGTTGAAATTTGCATCTGCATAAAGAGGGAAAAACCTTCTATAATGGAGTCTTTTTGTTGTTAGCTAAAAAAGTGAAAAATAATCATTCATAAATAATTTCGAATAGATTTTACTGCTTTAATAAATAATAGCAAAAAAAATTTGCGCCATGGAGTTCTTAAAATGAGTTCCTAAAGCGTCGAAAAGCACTGATTGCTCATTTTGACTTTGTTTTTGACTGAAAGGGTTGTTTTTGACCACAAATTTTGGGTCAATCAACATCCGTGTGTTCAAGCAAACTCGGTCAAAACATAGTTCAAACACTTTCACCCGGTTAGTGATAATCTGGCGTAATCCATATTGGTTCCAAGTTGGTAGTTGAAAGAGGCTTATTTGCCAGAATTGATTTATTACAAGAAGTGGAATTTATCCGTTTGTACTTTATATGGCGTGTGGGTGGATGATTTTCATAAAAAATTTCAAATTTTAGAAAAAAATCATTTAATTTTATTACATTTATTTTTTTAAATGTTATTACTGCTCCATAAACCTTAAAAAGCAGTCGGAAATTTCAGGGCTTCAACCTGATACGAGCTGCTTGTTTTAAGTTTCATCAGATTTTCAATGAATTGTCATTCTTATTGACTTTGAGAACAGCACTATAACTCATTGCAGTTTTGTTTCAAGGAGCTTTTGAAAGTGTTAGAAAAATGAAATACTGATGTAAAATTGAAGCAGGATATTTACACACCAGATTTTTAATTCAACTTGTTTTTTTCCAAGATCGATGTGCTCAAACTATAAAAACACTTTCAAAGTCGAGCACAATGTCAGTTCACGATCCAGAAAGAGTTTTCCAGATGGGGTTTAGAAAAGAAAACAAACTCGAAACAAATCTGGAGTACAGTATGAAATATCGAAACCCGCCCACACCGACCAAAACATGCCTCAAGCATTCTCAAAACAAATTTCGAGCTCGATCCTCCCGGGGTAAAACAAAAGAATTTTTTTTTGGAAACAACATCACAAGTATCGCCCCAATACTTCGACGCAAATTGAAAAACAGAACCCTGTTAAGATGGAGTTTATAAAGTACTAAGGATCTAGAACTTCCTAAAATTAAAGTTACTCCAATTATTTAATTCTGATAAAATTTGGAGTAAAATTTTTATTTGAAAAGGTTATTAATGTTTTTCAACTATCATCTCTGAAATCAGGTCGAAAATTTTATCTACAATATCAGTAGACTAGTGGAATCCAAGTTCCAAATTCAAGCGGAATTCACACATCTTATCTTTTCGGCACAAAAATTGCAAACGAATTCCGCAATTTCATAAGAAAATTTCACAAATTGTAAGTAGAAACCCCAATTATTAGTAGTATATGGATTCCACAAACTGTTCTGGATTCCGCAAATTGTTCTGCTTTCGGAGCATTTTTGAGTAAAATTATTTTTCAGCCTTTTGTTTGCGGAATCCACTTTAGCAAAAAAGATTAGGAAAACTAGCCATGTTGCGAAGTCTACGACAAAGTGATTTCAGCTTTGTTGTGGATTTTGCTTACGTGGCGCAAAAGTTACATTTTGGCTCCGTAATACAGAATCAATTAATTTTTTGGTGATGCAGAGAGACCTTTGACCCATAGAGTGAAGTTTATATGAGTCATAAGGCACTAATTATTATAAATCATTTTTTATTATAGCAGACATGGAACATATTGTTAACATATCTTTCACTTTTGAAGCGAAACTGTTTCCCCTCTCCGTCAAATTCTACTAATAATTCGGATATGAAAAGTCAACAAAAGGCCAGTTAGGCCTAGTCGCGCTTTAATAAGGAATTCTACATTTGAAACTCCATTTTTTCAAACTCTCCATTTTCTGAAGCAGAGTTCAGTTGTCTCGAAACTTAGATAGTGTAAACTGCCTCAAAACTTAGACAGCTCAATTGTCTCTCTTTGTGTAAGTTAATTTGGAACTGTTAACAAACCAGGTCCAATGTGCGATCTTGCGCATTGGGTGATAAATACTTGGTGGTGGGGGATCGGCAAAAGAGCCTCGACTCAAAAATACCACCCAGGGATAAATTTGAACACCTCGCCCTCTTTTTGCTATCATTTTCTAACCTCTAATTCACTCTTTGGCGCCAATTTATGCTAATAAGTCAAGGAGAACGCACGCCAAGAAGAAAAAAATTTACCTCAATAAATTCTAAAATGAGTCAAAAATGGTCCTTTTTAATAGTTTGTTGTTGTTTTCAATTTTTTCACCCATAACAGGAGTCCTCTGATGTTAAACGAGAAGTTGGAAAATTACATTAATTCAAGTTTATAAAAATCAAGGTTATGAAAATCCACCACACTCGTGAAAATGTTGGATCCGCCCTTCCAGATGATACTTTTTTTTCAATTTACCAAACAAATGCATCAGGTGTCAACGTCACTCTCTGAACTTTAGGGCCTATTTGAAAAAAAAAATTGGAACCAAAGTTCAGCTCAGTTCATCATGTTGAAATTGACTTTTTGCTGTCTCAAAGCTTTTGAGGAAGGCTATGAAAGTATACTTGGAATGGCATTGTTTGATTGGATTTTATGACGGAGTACAATTACGCTTGGGTCCATTAGGTGGCTTTCAAATAAAATCTGATGGAGGATCATTCATTAAAAAATCCAATGGGGCATTCGGGCGGTTTTTTAAATGTCACTGTGAGGAAAAGTCAACTTAACTTGTTCACGCTCTATTAGCTTCAAAATAGTGAAGAACTATATTAGGAATGACAAACAGCAAGCATTTTCAGTCGGTGTTTTGAATTCCATATAAAAAGCCATACCAGTTTTGTTTTCTATTGCAGGCAGAATAGCCAATAAGCAGAAAAATAGTATAAACACAAAAAACTACTTGAACCTAAAATGATGTTTTTTTGTAAGACTCCTCCAAAATAGTAACAAAATATTAGCCCACTACCAATGTTTTTATATTTAATGGTCTGTACTTCAATAGAGTACTTAGAAAAAATCTTGAATATTTAATCTTTTAAATCAATTGGACTAAATTCTGTGTGAAAAAATCTTGCCGATGTTTTAACCTGATTTGTTTTTTGAAAAACTTTGAAAATAATATTCATTCAAAAATTGTTCTGATTGTTTTAGTCATTAAGAGATTTTTTTAAAATTTTTTGGATCAAGTAAACATTCACCCCCCCCCCCCCCCCCCCCCTAAATCAATTAGAGGCAGAATGTTCACTTAGTTAAAAAGAGACATTTTTCAGCCAATCAGATTTGAGCATAGTACATACTTATAGCTTGAATTTGTCCTTTTTTTAGGGGAAGATCGTTCAATTGATTCATTAAAAGGGGGAGGTATTGTTCACAT